AATAAACAAAATCCTTCCAAGAATATTTTCCCTATGTCCGTAACTAATCACTTTCTATTCAAATGTATTGCTTTCATTTCTAATAAGCCTACTAATTTACATATCTTATATTTAATGACAATATAATTTTATACATTTTCTTAAGTAAACAAGATTACTTATTTTTTTAGATTATTTCCAAATAACAATTTTTTTTGGGAACCTTAACAATATATATATAGAATCTTGACAAAGGCAAGGGTTTCCTGCTGAGACGTTGATTGATTGCAATGGAAAATAAAATCTAGTTCCACATGACATATCTTTATTGAACCTAAACCCAAGAAACATTAATTTTATATTATAAATATATATATATATATATAATATATATATATATATATATATATATATATATATATATATATATATATATATACAAAAATTTCATTCTTCATGACTCTATAAAGTAAGTGAGTAACTCTGTTTATATTTCGTTGCAACGAAGTATTTTTTCCTATATAATTCACAATTGGCTTTATATCACAATCTCATTGATCAGTATCGGGAAGCAGCATAATTGCCAAATATCGCTTCTGATACAAGGAGAGGTTATAATTTCAGCCTCTATCAAAATAATAGTTTCAGCATTTCCGACGATCTGAAATTATGGAAACTACAAAGGATAACGGCCTTCCGAAAACTGGAAGAGCTATATTTTCCAACCCATGTAATCGAGTCGTAGGGATGGAATCGATTGCAGTATTGGTAAATGCTGTGTAAAATCAATTATAAACGAATAACCGCTGGAACAATAACCGCGATGAAACGTTTTGTAACGACCATTTATTCAGATCACTTTTTAACCGAACCGAATTGAATTTTGGAGTTTCTGCCTTATGAGGGCCGTTGATAATAAATTAGGTCTAAAAATTGGGGCACTTGCTTTCTCTCATACAAAAAAAAAAAAAAAATTCTACATTAAATTGTGCTCATAATGGACATGATTTCTGACGATGGAGGAGGATGGAAAATTATGCGCTTTTCTAGGCAAATTACGTCTTATACTAGAACATGTGAATACATGTTGCTAATATTATTTTGGGATCCTGATTTCATTACTAATAGTAATCTTTCATCTATAATCGGTTCACAGTTTGTCGATAGCCCACTACAAGTTTAACCCTAATTAGAAAACTGAAATACAGAGAGGATAGGTAATACGATATAATAGTAAAAACCAACCTGAAACTGACGGTTTAAGATGTTTTCGACTAACCCACCTTGTATGTGAAGAAATACAATACAGTAGTCAACCTTATAATCCGATTACGAAGGTATCTTGGTTACAGATGATCGACCAGTGTCGTAGAGTATATGATTGAAACATTTATTTGAACTAAATAAATATTGAAATGATTTCAATATGTTAAAAAATATACAACTTAAATGGATTTTTATATGAGTTTGTTGTTCATGAATTTCATGAAGCCATCACAATGTGGGTTCGAC